GGTGGGCCAGCGCAGGGCCTACTCCGCCCGCCGCCGCCTCGCTCGCTCGGCGCGGGGTTGTGTGGTATTTCTTTTTAAAGTACAAGAACAACTACAAAGTAAGGGAACTTAAGACGACAATAATTAAATCTGTTTCATATACAGGATGGGGCAACTCAAAACGTAAAAATGATCTTTCTAAATCAAATTTGCTTGAGGAGCCCGTCATTTACCAGAAGTGGAGTTACTGGATCATGTGGTAGTTATGAGCACTTTTTCTTTTTTTTTTTTTTAAGAGAGATTTTTGGTATAGGGTACATGTGCTCGCTGAAGAGACAGAAAAAAAGGGAGAAATCATCCCCAGGGAGGATTGCTGTAGTTGCAATTTCTTCTCCTCTAGTATCCTCCCTGGATTTTGGGCATGCATACATACACGTTCAGCATGAGTTTCAAGGCGCTGGAACTCAAGCCATTTGGTCATGTGGGAATCCAGCGACATAACCATTAAGCCACCTGCTGGTCACATGAGCACTCCTTTTTAAAAAATTATTTTTACATGGGGCCGGCAGGTGACATGGTGGTTAAGAGTGCTAGACTCCTACATGGCCAACTGCGGTTTGACTCCCAGACCTGGTGGCTTGCTTTCTCACTTTCTTTCTCTCTCTGTCTCTCACTCTGTTCCTCTCTGGTCAAATTAAAAATAAATAGATACATAAATTTTAAAAATAAAGTTCAATAAAATAATTCTTACAAAAAATTATTTTTATGGGACCAGTAGATGATGTAGTGGTTATGTTGCTGGATTTCCACATGGTGCACTATGGTTTGAGTCTTAAACCCAGTGGCTTGAAAAATCACATGTGTGTGCATGTTCAAGATCCTGGGGGGAAACGGAGGAGAAGGGATTGTGGCATTGCTATCCCCCTTGGGGGGTGATTTCTCACTTTCCCTCTTACTGTGTCTGTCTTTTTCTCTGGCAAGCATGCGTGCCCTAAGGCAAAAACTTCTAAAAATATTTTTATTTTATTTTAATTATCATTATTCTTTTTTAAAATTTGACCAGAGAGAGAGAGAAAGGGAAAATGAGAAAGCAAGATGCCAGGTCCAGGACTCGAACTGCAGTCAGCCTTGTGGAAGTCCATTGCCTTAACTATCCCGCCATCTGCTGGCCCTAAAAGGATTCTTAAGCTTTTTTGCTTTTTAAAAAATAGAGTAGTGGCATGGCGTCTGAATGTACTAGACTCCCACATGGCTCTCCACGGTTTGAGTCCTGGACCTGACGGCTTGCTTTCTCACTTTCCCTCTCTCTTTCTCTCTCACTCTGTCCCTCTCTGGTCAAATTAAAATAAATAAAGTCAAATAAAATAATTCTTTTTAAAAAAAAGAAAGTGTGGTTAGAGCCAGCAGGCGGCATAGTAGTTAAGGTGCTGGATTCCCACATAGTCAACCATGGTTTGAGGTCAGCAGCTTGAAACTCATGCCAGGCACATGTGCGTGCATGCCCAAAATCTCAGGAGAAGAAGGGGTTGAGGCATGGCCGTTCCCTCTGGGAGTGATTTCTCACTTTCCTTCTCACTGTCTCTCTTGTGAGTGCACATACCCTATGACAAAAACAAAATATAATAACGTTGCTAAATTATGTGACACAAGGCAATACTAATGTAGTTCTGCTTACTTTGACTGGGTTTTTAAACCTTAGAGCTTGAACCTCATATTATTGAGCATTTGAAAAAGGTCTCAGAGAAAAATGTGCGCAGTGAGGGGGGAAAGTAACGATCAGAAGTGACCATTGTGACTTCAGGCCTTTGAGTTTTTGTTGCTAAATCATGAAGAGGCACAACCGAGAACACTCACAATGGAAAACACATGGGCCTTTACCCTTTTCTTGTGGAATTTATAAATTTAACTTCTGTGGGGTTTGGGAGAGTGTTGCTTTTGATGATGAGTTTTTCTTTCCTTCTTTGTGTTTCCTAAAGTGTGCATACTAGCTGGTCTATTCTTGGCATTTCTACAGATCACTTGCACTACTACTTGCTTCATATATGCTTTTTAATTACCTTCTTCAATTCAGTTTTGTTTTTTTAAAGGTTTTTACCATAGGGCATGCACTTGCCAGAGACAGAGAGAGAGAGAGAGAAGGAAAGTGAGAAATCACCCCCCCCCAGGGGGGATGGCCAGGCTGCAATCCCTTCTCCTCCATCCTCCTCTCAGGATTTTAGGAACACACATACACATGCCAGGCATGATTGTCAAATCACCAGGTCCAGGACTCAAACCGCAGTCCATGTGGGAGTCCAGTGCCTTAACCACTACATCACCTGCTGGTCCCTCAAATCCATTTTTCAAGGAGTCTTTATTGTATAATCATAAATGGAAAACAAGTGCCACATGCCAGAAATCACAAGTAATGAGGAAAAAAGAAATCTCCTAAACAGTCCTTAAATTCTAGCTAGAACCTGCTATCTGCTGAGGCATAGGCTAAAGCCTACTCCTGTGTTTAAAAAAAAAGAAGGTTGACGATTGTTAGGAATGAAACTTTTTTTTTTTTTTTGAGAGGATTTTGCTATAGGGCATGTGCATTCACCAGAAAGACAGAGGCAGAGAGATAGAAAGTGAGAAATCATCTCTCCAGGGGGGATGGCCATGCTGCAATCCCTTCTCCTCCATTTTCCCCTCAGGATCTTGCGCACACATGCACCCGGCGTGAGTTTAAGCCACCGGGTATGGGGCTTGAACCATGGTCAACTATAGGGGAGTCCAGCGACGTAGCCATTACGCTAACTGCTGGTCCCAGGAATGAAACATTCTGGCACCCAACTAGGATGGTCCTTCTTTCAGCACTGGGAGCCCTGGGGGAGAGCTGGAAAGGGAATGCCGTTCTCATTGTAACTCTGTGGTTTAATGCCTTGTCCTTGCAGGACCTTAGACCGGCTCAAAAGCCAGGAGTGGAGGCAGAGAGGGGAGGTAGAGAGTCGGGGATATCTCCCACTTGGGAAGGGCTAGGGTAGGGCATGCTGAAGGCCATCTGGTGTGTTAGCGGCTCTCTGGGTGGTTTCTCTGCAAAGTCTCCTGGTCAGAGCCAGGAAGGGGTAGCCGTGGATACTGTGTGGGGATTGCCATGACAGACAAAGTCCCCCTCTGTGCTCATAGGGCTGCCGTAGCAAAGCACCACAGACAGGGTGGTTTAGACAACAGAGATTTGGGTCAGGCTGTGGCATAGTGGTTGAGGCAGCTGGATCCCACATGGCCAATGGCATGGCCCGAGTCCTAGACCCAGTGGCCTGAGAAACACACTGGGCGCATATGTGTGTGTGCCCAAAATCCCCAAAAAGAGGGAGAAATAGAGGAGGAGGGATTTCAGGGTGCCCATTCCCCATGGGGGGGTGCCTTTTAACTTTCTCTCTCTCTGTGGTAAATGCATATGCCCTCTAACAAAAAAGGAAATAAAGGAAAGGAACTTATTTTCTCGCAATTCCGGAGGCACCAAGATCAAGGGGTTGGCAGTGTATCTTTCCTCTGAGGCCACCAGGGAAGGGTCTGTCCAGGCCTCTGTCTCATCTCAGAGACGGTTGTCTCTCACTGCGTGTCCATGTGGTTTTCCCGCCTGTGTGTCTGTGCCCTTATCTCCTCTTCTTTTACGGACACCAGCCATATAGGGTTAGGGCCCACTAGTGACCTCACCTCACTTCAAAGCCCCTGTCTCCACATGAGCATGTTCTGAGGTACTGGGGTTAAGACTTCAACGTAGGAATTTGGGGAGGGGAGCACATTTCAGCCCCTAGCACCCTCTCTTCCCTCTCTGCCCCTATATCTGTTCCCACTCCCCATGCCTCCCAGTTCCTGCCCGGTCTCACACTCACCGTCTCGCTCACAGGATTGGGATCTTCTTCTGCCCGCTGCTGCCCTTCATCCAAATGATTACTCTTTTCATCATGTTTTACGTCAAAAATGTGAGTTAGTCTGAAGTCGCCACACATCCGCTTTGCCCAGTCCCCTGTGACCTGGTGGCAGGTGGGGGTGTAGCGGGGGAGGGTGTTGAGGAGTCGGTGCCTGGCCGGGGTCTCCCTGGCTGCTCCTGTGGCCGCAGATGGGAGGTGGTTGTGTCTCTCTCTTCAGATCAGCCTGATGATGAACTTCCAGCCTCCGAGCAAAGCCTGGCGGGCCTCCCAGATGATGACCTTCTTCATCCTACTGCTCTTCTTCCCGTCCTTCACCGGCGTCCTGTGCACCCTGGCCGTCACCATCTGGAGGTAGGAGGGGGTGGCCTTGGGTGAGGCGGCAGAGTCTGAGTGTTTCATGTATTTATTTTCAGTTCAGACATTTTTAAAAAATACATTCAATCACTGTATATCATTACAGCTTCCAAAATGGCTTTTCCCAGCGTGAATACACTGTGTATGAGTCCAGTTAGAGCTGTTTCCCTCCACATTTTCATCCACCGATAATTTTCCATCTTTGTGTTCCTTTAATGTCTCGCTTCTTTCTTTTCCCCCTTGGTTCATATTTGTTTTAAAATAGAGGTGAGGCCGATGGATCAGGAGACAATCCCCATTGAAAAGAATTTGTTACTCACAGTTCCTGGGGGCACTGGGCCCTCTATGCCATGTGGTGCCATAGGTGGGTCAGGAGGTAGAGGGAGTAGGGAGAAAACGTGGGTAGGAGGTGGTTTCTGTGGTAAGGGACAGCCATGACAGAGAAAGCAGGCTTCTGATGGGCTAGTGGGAATAATTTCTACAGGCTCTGGTGCATAGGAGCTGCTGATGCCAAGTTGTCTGAGATCTGGCCTTGGTATGATTAGGGCAGTGGAAGAGTGGCACAGAGTGGAAGAGTCTGTTAAAGGAGGTAGGTAGGGCTGTGGGCCCGGAATGGGTTGGTGTGCACATGAAAGTCATGCTCTGCAGGCCAGCCCTGGGAAAGGCAGTCTCCAGGGGTCAGTAAGACCTCCCCGACCCCGTATCAAAATGTCAGAAAGAAAAGACATGCTTAATATAGTGCTTTGCCCAAGTTCCCTTGGTAACCAACAGACACTAACACTGAACAAGAGAATAACTCCTAGTTTGGCCGCAAACCAGCAGGCACCCACAATCAGGAACAGCTTCCTCACTTCTGCCAAGTAGAGAAGCTTCTCAGAATGGGGAGAGGCCAGTTCTTCCACATCAACAGTGGAACCTCACCTCAGTTACCTGAGCCGCCCTGCCTGATCTTGCTCCTTCTCCTTCTCCAGCCTCACCTGCTTACTGGCTTCCCCTTACTCCAGCCCCACCGCTCTCATCTCTCTCCCGGGACCAGCATTCGCCTCCCTACATGAACAGGGTCCTCTGATTCTCAGCCCCATGGCCATTGCCAAGATGTGACCTTCAAAGCCATTCTTTTTATTTTTTAATTCTTTTATTTAACTTTATTTATTTATTTATTTATTTATTTATTTATTTATTTATTTAAATTTGACCAGAGAAGGACACACACACACATACACACACACACACACACACACAGAGAGAGACAGAGAGAGAGAGAGAGAGAGAGAGAGAGAGAGAGAAAGCAAGAAAACAAGCTGCCAGTCCCAAGACTTGAACCGTGGGCACCCATGTGGTAGTCCAGCACCCTTAACCACCAGACCACCTGCTGGCCCCTCAAAGCCATTTTTGTCTACTGCCAGTTCCCACCTCTTCTCTCTCTCCTGTGAGTTTCTTTCATTCCATCACTCACAGCCAGAAATGCCTTTGTCTGAGTCTTCGTTGAGTTGTTTACTCATTGATTGCCCGTCTTTCCCATTAGAATGTAAGTCCAAGAGGGTGGGAACTAGGTCTGTCTCAATATGGAGTCCCCAGGGCCTGTCTAGATCAGTGCGTGGCAGAAGAGCAATGAACCTTGGCAGAATGAAGGGCTAAGCGAGGGAAGGAATGACAGAGTGAATAAACAAGGGAGCCAATGTTTAGGACACCTGCAGAACTGGAGCCATCAGGAACTTGAGCAGCTTTGAGACGGGCTGTCCTGTTCCACCAAGTCCTTGTTTCTCCTGTCAAATCTACTCCCTCCTCTGTCTCTTCCTAACCAGCTCTCCATTGCCCCATGCCCTGCCCCGTTCTGCTCATTGTAACAACTGACTGCACATGGCTGTATCACAGCTTCCGCTTCCATCTCTACCAGGTGTCCTCCTTCATGTCTCTTAATTCAAGCTCCCAAAAGAGAGGCGCTAGTCGTCCTCATTCATTCCTTCAAGCCAAGATACTGTAGAGGTCACTTCCTGGCCTTTGGACTGGCCACTGTTGGATCAGGCGATACCTCTGGTCTAAGAGCTGGCCCTTAGCGTGCAGGCCATACCAGCAAGGCTGTGAGCAGCTGTGTTTCCTTCGGAAGGAGGGTGTGGGTAGAACAGTCAAGAATAGCTGTCTCCAGGTCCAGAGTGCAGGAAGGGCACCCTGATTATAGAAGACCTATGCCTGTGTGTCATGCCATTGATGTATTTCCATCCCTTGTTTTACCAGATTGAAACCTTCAGCCAACTGTGGCCCGTTCCGAGGCCTGCCTGCCTTCATTCACTCCATCTACGGCTGGATCAACACCCTAAAGACAAGGCCTGGCTACCTGTGGGTTGTTTGGATCTATCAGAACCTCATCGGGAGTGTGCACTTCTTTTTCATCCTCACCCTCATTGTGTTGTAAGTGGGGTGCCTTAGGAAACTTGGGGGAACAAGAGCTCTCAAAGGAAACTCTCATTAATATGAGGTGAGGATTGCCCTGGGGACTTGCAGTTGGAAAGCAAAGAGCTGCATCTTATCTCACAGTGTTAGGGATGAGCCTGATCCTACCCTGAGTAGGTAGTTCATGTAAGAAAGCAAACTTGCTTTGTGTCTCTTTGGAAATGACGTGAGAATAAAATGAAAATATAGAGACTAAAATGAAAAAAATAAAACGAGAATGCTTGGGAGAGTGAAATGTGATTCTGAGGAGGATATGTGAAAATGGTTAGGCATTACTGCTATGTAAGATGTTGTGCATAAGTTTTTTTTTTTTTTTTTTTTTGAGAGGTTTTTTTCACTATAGGGTGCGTGCGCTCACCAGACAGACAGGGAGACATAGAAACAGAAAGAGAGAAATCAGCCCCCAGAGGGGATGGTCACGCCGCAATCCCTTCTCCTCCATTCTCCTCTCGGGATCTTGGGCACGCACGCATGCACATGCGCCCAGCGTGAGTTTTAAGCCACCGGGTCCGGGACGCGAACCGCGGTCGACTACGTGGGAGTCCAGCGACATAGCCATTACACTAACTGCTGGTTCCCTGCATAAGTTTTCAAAGTAAAAAAGATCGATTTTTTATTACAAGAGATTTTTTTTTTTTTTGCCATGGGGTGTGTGCGCTTGCCAGAGAGAGAGAGAGAAAGAGAGAAATCACCCCATATGGGGGATGGCCATGCTGCAATCCTTTCTCCTCCATTCTCCTCTCAGGATTTTGGGCACGCATGCACACACACAAGCACCCGGCATGAGTTTCAAGCCACAGGGTCCAGGACCCAAACTGCAGTCCACTATGTGGGAGTCCACCCCCTTAACCACTACACCACCTACTGGTCCCAAAAAGATTGATTTCTGACTTCCATAAGAAATTCAATTTGTGGGACCAGCAATTGGCATAATGCCTATGTTGCTGGACTCCTATGTAGTGGACCATGGTTCGAGTCCAGGACCCAGTGGCTTAAACTCACACCAGGCGCGTGTGAGTACATTTTCCGAGAGTAAAATGGAGAAGGAATTGTGGCGTGGCCATCCCCCCCGGGGATGATTTCTCGCTTTCTGTCTTTCTGTCTTTCTGTCTCTCTCTGTCTTTCTGGCAAGTGCACGTACCCTATAGCAAAAATCTCTCAAAACAAAAAAAAAAAAAAGGAGAAGAAGAAAAAGAAAAAGAAAAAGAGAAAGTCAATTTGCTGACACTAGGTCCATTTTACTGCATGAAACAATTGGTGGGCCTGACACATAACTTTTCTTTCTTTGTTTGTTTTTATCTTGTTTATTTCTTTCATGAGAGAGAGAGGCAGAGGCAGAGATAGGCACTCCCAACAGAGCCTTCACTCTGTGGTCCGTCCCCATCTCAGTCAGCCTGGATCACAGGCAGACACACATGTGCCCAGCATGCTTAGCACGATCCCAGGATAGGAGCCCAGGCTATTTCTCCTAAGGGTCCAGTTGTGTGGCTACTGCGCCACCTGCTGGCCCTGGCCCTCTTTTGGGGCTTGGTCCTGAGGGCATTTGAGAGGGCAACTCCTCGTTAGAGAGACACACAACTCAAGGCGACTGGAGCTAGTTGACGTGCCCTGCAGAGCAGCTGCTCCATGGCTCAGATGGGAACGATAAGATTAGCAGAGGCAGGGTCACTTGCAGAGCGAGATTCCAGGCTGCAGAGGCCATTGGAGGCAGAGGAGGCCAGACCCTGGATCTCCTGTTTCTGTTACGTTATGTCCTTCCTCCCTTATGCCCGATGTCCTGGGCCTCCTGAGAATGGAGAATTTTCATGGTACCCTGCTTCTCCAAACATATTCTTTTTCTTTTCTTTTTTTTTAAATTATGTCTTTAATTTTATTTATTATTATTATTGTTGTTGTTTTAATTTGCTATAGGATACACCACCAGAGAGAGAGAGAGAGAGAGAGAGAAAGTGAGAAAGCAAGCCGCCAGGTCTGGGACTCGAACCGTGATTGGCCGTGTGGAAGTCCAACACCTCAATCACCATGCCACCTGCTGGCCCCTCCTCCTAACTTCTAACAGTCTGCACTGTTTTTACTCAGCATATTTCTGACACTAAATGTGCCATCAAATCATGATTCAAGGGCTCAGTCCCATAGCACTGTCCCCACGTCTGATGGCGATCACAAGTCCCAGTTTGTCATCTGTGCTTCTGACTGGTTATAAATGTGACGGGACTCACAACTCCCTCCTGAGGGTCGAGAGTTTGCTAAAACAACTCACAGAAGCCGGGAAGGCAGTTCACTATTACCAGGTATTACTAAGGATACAATCCAGAAGAGCCACATGGAAGAGATGCCTCGGGCTAGGTATGTGTGTGTAGGGGAGGGGGTGACACAGCACTTCCATTCCAGCTCCTAGGCAGGCACGATTGATCAAATCATAGGCCACTGACAACTCAATTTCAAACCGTTCTCTCCTCCCCAGGGTCGTGGGGGCGGGTGGCTGAAGGAGGGGGCTCCCTCTAAGCTCTGATCTTTCAGGTGACCAGTCCCTGACCCTCTCTAGGATGTCCCAGCCGCAGGTCATCTCATTAGCATTCAAGAGACACTCCCATCGACTCTGGAGATGCCAAGGGTTTTATGGGCCAGCCGTGTGTCAGGAACCTGGGACAAGGACCAATTATTTATCACACCTGGAGCTTGTTAGAAATGCAGAGTCTCAGGCCTACTCCAGACCTACTAAATCAGAAATTGTATCACATTGCTGTTTGGACAGGGCTATGCAGATTCACGAATTCTGGCTGCATATTAGAATCATGTGTGGGGGGAGCGGAGGGGGTGCTGGCAGGTGGCTTGGTGGTTAAGTCACTGCATTTCCACATAGCTGACAGCAGTTTGAGTCCTGGACCTGGTGACTTGCTTTCTCACTTTCCCTTTCTCTCTCTCTCTGGTCAAATAATAATAATAATAATAAGTAAATCTTACAAACAAAAATAAAATAATATATAAATTTATAATGCTGATATCTGGCCCATGCCCAGAATTGCTCAATTAATTGATCTAAGGAGGGACAATGGCTTGGGTCTTATTCACACTTTCCAGATGATTCCATGTGCAACTGGGTTGAGAAACATTGCTCTAGCGTATTTATTGTAACTCACTCTGATGCAACTTTTCAGGAGCACATTTGGGCCAAAATTTATCTGCAAGCCCACATTCCAGTTCCTTTCACCCAATTGACATTTGGAGCCTGCTGAGCTTTGGCAAGAGTGCCTGTCAGCCTTTCTTTTGTTCTCTTCCAGAATTATCACCTATCTCTACTGGCAGATCACAGAGGGAAGGAAGGTCATGATCAGGCTGCTCCATGAACAGATCATTAATGTAAGTCCCGTTGGAAACACCCCTTTTTAAAATTTCCAGAGGGCACATGGGCTTGCTAGACAGAGAGATGAGAGAGAGAGAGAGAGAGAGAGAGAGAACCCCTAATGGGACATGGGCACTCTACAATCCCTCTCCTCCATTTCTCCATCCTGTTGAGATTCAGAGCACACACACACATGAACCTGGCATAGTTTTTAAGCTGCAGGGTCCAGAATTTAAACCTCAGTAAGCCACGTGGGATCTGGCTCCCTTAACCACTAGGCTATGGGGCTGCCCTCCCCATCACCACAGTTGTTTTTATTATTAGAGGGTGCATGAGCTCACTAGAGTAAGACAGAGAAACAGAGAGAGACCTACAGAATGTTGAAAGCACCCTTCAATGAGTGCATAGTCATGCTTCAATTCCTTCCCATTTCTCCATCCCGCCCAGATTTTGGGCATGCACACACATGTGCCTGGCATGTCTCTCAAGTTGCTGAGACTGGGGCTGAACTGCAATAGGCTATGTGGGATCTGACTCCCTTAACCATGAGGCAATGGGGCTGACCCTCCACCCCCCTTTAACCCTTTATAATGGGAATTCCAATAGTGCAGCAAGTCCCCATTTCCCCTTCCTTGATCTCTGGAAGGGCAAAATGTTCTAGGCAGATCTGGAGGCCGAGCTCTAAGCTTTGGCATTCCCAGTGGGAGGACAAGACTGACCCAGGCAATATCTAGTTTTCTAGGGAGAGCAAACCAAGAGGGGGGTGCTGAAAACCACTGTCCCTGGCATTCAGACAGTGGCACTTTAAATTGCTTCTAGCAACAAGCTAGTGGTGGCTACTGCTCAAGCCTACCTGAGAAATTGCTTTAGAAAAGAATTTGCTAGTGCAGGAAGGCTCTGGGAGAAACTCTGGCTCTGCTATGAACTGTTTCTATTCTTTCATCAGGAGAAAACATGGCGGCAATCTCCATCCAACTTCTGGGACCTTACTTGACCTTCCTTGCCTAAAAATCAGCCTTCTTTTCATCAGTTGCTTTCCAGCCTCACACCGTCATTCATCCATATTTTTATTTTCCTTAACAGGAGGGCAAAGATAAAATGTTCCTGATAGATAAGCTGATCAAGCTGCAGGATGCCGAGAAGAGAGCAAACCCCAGCTCACTCATTCTGGAAAGGAGAGAGGTGGAGGTGAGCTTGAAGCTGCCTTGGGAACCCCTGGGACACATTTGCCTCCCTATGAAAAGTGTTTCAGGGAACCAGAGACCAAGCTCTTTGGAGAACACAAGGGCCCTTCGCTTTTTATGTTTAAGCGTTTCGATGTTTCTTATTTTAAAACAATAATATTCATTCCATTCAACACTCTTTGTCTGAACTTGTTCTAGGTGCTGGGATTATGGATTTCTTGTTCTAGGTGTTGGGAACGACAAAGCCCCTGCCCCTGTGAAGCCTGCATGCTTGTTCATATAACCCAGTGATACAGAAGTATGGCCTTTTGGGATGAAAAATGCCTTGAAAGCTTATCCTAAAAATATGCTTTATTGCATATTTTTCCAGATCTTTCCCCTGGCCACCTGCAAACATACCTGTATCTACTAACACTTTTATTGATGCATTGACTACAAAAGAGGAACTTTATTATACAAATAGTATAAATATAAATATTTATATTTACTACTTATATTTAAATATTTTCATAAATATTTTCTACCACTTACTACTATAACACAGACATTGCTTCATTTTGTACATATGTGGACATTAGCATTGACTCCAGATTTTCCTAATACTAAAAACAGTATCTAATGAAACATTTTGTTATACTTATTTTACATATTTCTGCCGCAGGGCATGTTCATGACAATGTTAACGGATCTTACTGTTTCATTTTCTTGAAAAGAGTTGACCAGTTTCATTCCTATAAGAAGATGCTTGAAAACTTCCTCTAACTCCAAAGCTCTTTCGGGCTTCCTTGGTGTGCTGGAAAATATGAGCAAATGGGAAATCAGTCTTAATTCAAGCACTAGTTATTTTGGAAGCTTTTGATTTTGATGGAAGAGATGGCCCTGCAATTTACTATCTGTGCAAATGAATACTGTCAGCATGACTTAGATAAAGGATGAGGAATTGTAAGCTCTTTAGCTCAGGGGCCATGCATGTACTATGTGGTATATTGTAAATGCTCAGTAAACAGCCATGAGATGAGTGAATGAACAAAATCATTGTCCCTAAAACACAAAACATGTTCAGTATTTCTATGGCTGATGCTTGGTCTTAATCTGCCACCACCTGATTTAAAAATGGTGGGGCCCTGTAGATTTTACCAACTATGCAACAAGACCCAGGACTTACTTTCTTTCCCAGTGGCATGGCTGTTCTTTTTCTTCTTTTTCAGCCACAAGGCCCTTTGCCTTCAGAGAAACATGGTGTTACCCCAGGTGAGTACCTGAGCTGGCCCAGAATAAGACACGAACTGGTTCAGGTCATGTGTCTCAAGATAGACGGTCAGAATTGCTCAAGTTTTGATTGTTCTTTCCAAACCCAACCTACACTGGTTTAAGCAAAAATCCAAGAATAAGTCTTGCTTTAGGCCTGTCCAAAAGCAAGAATTCACCATGTCATCAGATCTGGTTTCTTTCTGTTTACTTCTTTTCCATGTTAGCATTTTGCAAATAGGCTCTTTCTAAACATTGTGACAGCTTCATCAATTTGTGCTTTTTAAGATTCAATTGAATGGACGAGCGCAGGGGACCCAGAATGTTCCAGTGCTTCCCTGCACCTGAGTGGGTGGTGTACTCACCCTGAACTGATTGCTATGGCTGTGAAAATGTGATGCATTCCTTGTCCTTGACCTAAGTCACTTGCTTCATCTGTAGATGCAGGTGGTGCAACCTTCAGGTCAAAGGGACTGGGAGTAGGAAAGGGTGGTTTCCCACAGAAAATCTGGGCCTGAGGTCAAAAGAGGAATGAATGCAAGGGAGGAAAAAACATCCATTCTTTAGGAACTGCATTTACTGATGCCATTCAGTGATAGGAGTTCAGGGGGAAAGGATTACAGAAACTAAAAAGGAGGAGGGAGGAAGGCAGGGGAAGCCTTGGGGTCTTTATTTATTTATTTTATGAAGAGAGATTTTTGCTATGGGGCATGTGCGCTTCCCAGGGAGACAGATAGAAAGCGAGAAATAACTCCCCCGGGAGCAATAGCCATGCCACAATCCCTTCTCCACCAGTCTCCTCTCAGGATTTTGGGCATGCACACACACACACACACACACACACACACACACACGCTCAATTTGAGCTGTAAGCCGCTGGGTCTGGGATTCGAACTGCAGTCAACCATGTGGAAGTCCAGTGGCATAACCATTATGCCATCTGCTGGCCCCAGCCTTGGGGTCTTGAAGGTCCATTTGGTCTTTTCCTTGCAGAGATGGGCACTGTGGGTGGGGCTGCATTAACTTCTTTTTCCTGTGTCAAACCCAGACCTGCGATTTAGGCGATCCGTTCAAGAAAATAATCCAATATCCTGATGGTGGTTGTGGTGGCCAGACACCAATCAGAGGAGGAAAGAAGGCAAAGATGGACCAATTTCTTCCATGATGCCTGGCCCTTCAGGAACTTCACAAAGGCTAATCCAAGCCTTTAGCCAGCAGCGACTGCATTGTAACTACCAAAGTAAAACTGGATGTTCCCTGCTGTCGTTACACCTGGACTGCTGGTTTTTCAGGACAAATTCATGGGGTCTTCCAATAAGGATTGTTGTTTACTACTAGCCCACAAAGACCTGGGAAGAGATAACTGGAGAATGATTTATTTTTTTCTTCAAGAAACGTGTATTTGAATCATTGGTCCTTAGGGATCTCTCCTCCCAGACCTGGCAAAGACTTAGAAACTGCTGCTAAGAAAAGTGATCCGGCGTGAATGAAAATGTGATCCTTAATCAAAAATGTGAAACTTCTAAACTGTGCAAGCTGCATTTGTTCATGACATCCAACTAAAAACATCCTCGTAGCAGCCAGAAGTGAAATAAAACCAGAGGTCTTGTTGATGAGCTTTATTGTATTTCGAGTCCATCAGTCTTTGGGGTTGGACTGGAGGAGAGGAGTGGGATTCTGTCCCTATGAGATTTTATTCATGACCGTCAAGCCTTCTACCAAACACGAACCAGTGGTGATGTGTAGAATAGATGAGGGGTCTTCACAAAGTTCATGGGAGATGGGCGTTATAATAAAACTAGGCATGGATTTAAATTAGGGGAAAACCCCACTCACTGTAATTCCATTTTCCACACACATATGAAGTCCCCTCATCTCTGCATGTGAATGCATGCATCTGTAATAAATACATGTGTGGATGTATAATTTTTTAAAAAGGTTTTTGCCGTAGGACACACGTGCTTGCTAGAGAGCAACAGAGAGAGGGAAAGTGAGAAATCGGGCCCCAGAGGGATGGTCACACCATCATCCCTTCTCTTCCATTCTTGTCTCGGGACTTCAGGCACACATGTACACATGTCTGTTGTAATCTTCAAGCCACCAGGTCTGGACTCGAACCCATGGTTGGCGAATATGGGAGTCCAGCACCTTAACCACCACGCCACCTGCTGGCCCCATGGGCATAACTTTTTTAGTGTAGATTTTCAAAAGGGTTCACAAGGCAGATTAATTTAAACATAACTTAATACTTAAACAGTAGTTCTAATTGGGTAGATGTTTTTGTTTTGTTTTTAGAGGTTTTTGCTATAGGGCGCGTGCACTCGTCAGAAAGAGAGAGAGAGAGACAGAAAGCAAGAAATCAGCCCCCAGGGGGGCATGGCCACGCCGCAATCCCTTCTCCTCCATTCTCCTCTTGGGATCTTGGGCACGCACGCACACGTGCCTGGTGTGAGTTTAAGCCACTGGGTCCAGGACTTGAACCAGGGTCAACTACATGGGAGTCCAGCAACATAGCCATTATATCAGCTGCTGGTCCCAAGATATTCTAAAGGAGAAACACAGGGGACTGTCGGAGACTTGTCTATGGGGTCAGTGAAGGCAGCCCAGGAAACTGATGTTTGGAGCGACCCCTACTCCCGCTAGGTCATCCTGTTCTTATTGCTAGAGGGTGCATGCACTCCCCAGGGGCCGCGTGGTCATGTGCACTCCTAATGCTGTTTGTGCTGCTTCTGCTCCAGCTCCCATGGAAAGCATCACTTTGCCCCATGACCGCATGCTAAATGCTTACACCTGGAATTCTCCATTCACCTCCATCCGTTTCTACATCGGTGCTGCCTCTGCTTCTTCTGAAGGCACAAGCACAGCAGGTAGGTCTAGTCGGTAGGTTGCATGCACACATTAGGATGTGAGATGAATGCTTTTAATGCTTGGCCTGAAACAGGGGTGTGTTTGTTTGCTAGGGCTGCTATGTGCCTTTAGGCCAGTTATGTAACTTCCCTGTGCTTGATTTCCTTTGTGATTTTTTTGAGAGTTTTTTTTTTTTTTTTTTTTGCTTTATTTATGTATTTACTTACTTAATTTGACCAGAGAAGAATAGAGTGAGGATGAGGGGCGGGAGGGTGGTGGTAGTGAGAAAGCAAGCTGTCAGGTTTGGAACTCAAACTGCAATCAGCATGTGGGAGTCCAGCATCCTTAACCACCACGCCACCTGCCAGCCCCAAGAGAGGGATTTGTTTTGTTATAGGGAGTGTGCGCTCACTGGAGAGACAGAGACAGAAAGTGAGAAGTCATCCCCTCCCACCTCGCCGGGGAGGGGTGACAACACCAGAATCCCTTCTCCTCCATTCTCCTCTTAGGATTTTGTGCACGCGTATGCACACACGTGCCTGGCATGGGAGTTTTAAGCCACTGGGTCTGGGACTTCAACTGCAGTCAACTACGTGGAAGTCCAGCTATGTAACCATGCGATTCTAACAATTTCAACTACCTCAGTAGTGTTGCAAAGAACAAATACATGGAAAGCCTTTGAAACCATCCAATACCTGGTAGGTGGTCAACAAATATTGGAACCAGAAGATGGCATAATGGCTACATTGCTGGACTCCCATGCAGTCCACTGCAGTTTGAGTCCTGGATCTGGTGGCTTAAACTCATACTGGGTGGGTTTGTGTGTATGTATGTGCCCAAGATCCTGAGAGGAGAATGGAGAAGGGATTGTGGTGTGGTCATCCCCCCTAGGGGTGATTTTTTGCTTTCTGTCTGTCTCTCTTTCTGGCAAGTGCACACACCCTATAGCAACCCCAAAAAAAAATTAAAAAGCATGTTACATGGATTCCTCCAATTAATTCCAGCCACTGCAGAGATGGTACTAATACTACTTTGTAAGTAAATTAAGTAACTTGCCCAAGGTCATATAGCTAGTAAGTTGTTGAAGAGAAATTCAGGCTTGGCTTTCTCTGATTCCAAATCTGTAATTTACCCTATTCTAAGCCTCCCAAGAAAGTGCTGATAGAACTTATTAACACCTTCTTTCTTCCTCCAAATTTTCCACTCTTCTGAGGCCCAAATCACATTAGCCCAGGACCTGATCCTTACTTAGGCCTGGCTGAAAAAGGCAAAATGCATTTGGGATGCAGGTCAAGAGACAGACTCTGAACTCTCTTGAGGTCTTCACATAACTCAAAGTAATATTATTATTTTAGATTTTTTACCATAGGGTGTGTGTGCTCAACAGAGACAGAGAGAGGGAAAGTGAGAAACCCCCCAGGGAGGATGGCCACACTGTAATCCCTTCTAGAACTCCATTTTCCTCTCAGGATTTTGGGCATGCACACACATGCATGTTTTTCTGGCTGCTGGGTCTGGGACTCAAACCACAGAGTTGACCACGTGGACTCCAGCACCCTCACCATTGTACCATCTGCTGGCCCATTGAAAGTATATCACTTGGGGGTGGGGGGAGGTGGTGGCAGGTGGTGTGGTGGTTAAGGGCGCTGGACTCCCATGTGGCCAACCACAGCTTGAGTCCGGACCTGGTGGCTTTCTCTCTCTCTCTCTTTCTTTACCCCCTCCCCTTTCTGGTCAAATTAAAAATAAATAATTCTTTAAAATAAAAAAAATATATTATTGGGGCCAGCAGGTAGCATGGTGGTTAAGGCGCCAGACTCCCACCTGGCCAACTGCAGTTCAAGTCCTGGACCTGCCAGGAAAGTTTGCTTTCTTACCTCCCTTCTCTCTGTCTCTCTCTGGTGAGTGTATGTACTCTATAGCAAACTTAAAGAAAAAAAATAATAAAAACAAGATTATTAATTTTATTTTGCCCCCAAGAGAAATCCTTCCCTATCAGTTGCTGTGCAGTCTTAGACAGCACCACCAGACTGAAGTCCAGATTGTCTCGTTTTAGTTTACTGGGGGGAGGACACCCTCAAAGGGGTCTTCACATTGACCACCCCCAAGCCATGCAGCCAGCCAGGATCACAGGTGTGCCTGGTATGCTCAAGTAGACCTGGGATGTGAATCCAGAACCTTCCCAGAGCCCAGGTGGTTTTCTCTGGTCACTTTTTCATATCTCTTGTCACTCTAGTCAACGTGGCATGGGAGCATCTGCAGTTTAGACATTTGTTCCAGTCTATAATAAATATTCATTTTTTATAATGAACAAATATTTATTTTTATAATGTCTTTTAAAAATAATTTTTAAAGTTAATATTATTTTTTTGAGATTTTTGTTATAGGACCTGTACATTCGCTGGAGAGACAGAAAGTGAGAAATTACCCTCTGGAGGGATGGCCATGCCACAATCCCTTCTCTTCCATTCTCCTCTTAGGATTTTGGGCATGCACACACACATGTCCAGTGAGTTTTAAGCTGCTAGGCCCAGGACTCGAACTGCAGTTGACTATGTGGGAGTCCAGTGGAGTAACCATTATACCATCTGCTGGTCCCTTACTACTATTATTTTTTAATTTGCTATAGAACATGTTACTTATGAGAAAGTGAAAATGCAAGCTGCCAGACCTGAGACTTGTACCGTGGTTGGCCATGTGTGAGTCCAGAGACCTAACCACCTTGCCACCTGCTGGTCCCATTTACCCCTGGCTTGGTAAATGTTGATTGAAAATGTCACATGGGCCATCTATCATGTCCCTACCTATACCAATTGTAGCAAAAGTCAGCTTGCTTCACTCTGCTGACTATTGTGTGGACTGCTCTTTCAAAGCTCGCACTGACCGCTGCAAGGGTGAAGCTGGGGACTCGTTATAAAAGCCACAGATGGGGTCGAAAGGTGGGAGGGGTGATCAAGAGGAGGGCATTAGGTTTGTTATTAAAAAAAAAAAAAAAATGACAACTTCATTTCATTCAGCTTCATTTTCCACGTTGCTAAGTTCACGGTTTAAGACTCCTGGAAGTTCAGGTGGGAATGAACAGAGCTGGGGTCAAGGGCTCTGTGTTAATAAAGCCAGACATGGTGAGTGGCTGACGGCAGTGGCTTCCAGAGTCGGACTGACTCGGATTTAAAGACCAGTTGTACCACAGACTCAGAGACCTTGAATAAGAGACTTTAATTCTGCAATGTCTCAGTTTCTTCATGAGAAAAAAGGGAATATCACCCCACTAGGATTTCTGAGAGGGTTGAATAAGATAATGCATGTGAAGGTACACGTGAGCAATTCTGGTTGCGTATCAGCCTCTGCTGTGTCACCACCTATGTGGTTTTTGAGACAGACCCAGCCTCCCACGGGTTTTGGGTTTTTTTTGTTTTGTTTTGTTTTTAGAAAACAAAGGATAAGCCTAGATGGAAGTTTCTTCTAGTCCTAACTGATCACTGAATTATGATAACCTTACTGTGATCACTTGCTGCCGAGCTTCTTAGTAAGCCTGAAAGTGGAATGCTGCCCCCTGGTGGTGTGTAGCAGTTATCTCAAGATAAATGACCATAAACGACTCAGGTTGAATTCAAGACTTTGCTACCATTTTCCCTGTTGCGCACTGAGACCTCACTGGATTGCACACAGCAGCCTCCCCAATTCCTTAGGCTTTAGGCTAAGATGTGTGGTACACAGTACTCCCCTAGTGTTCCTTTTAATGATTTTATTAGTATGGTTCACGAGTTTGATGTCTACAGTACATTAACACAGCTGAACACGAATATTTGAAAGAAGTCAATGACTTAAGTGTGGCAAGTTCTGAGTGATCATGCATGTCCCATGCATTTGCACCTGCACCCCGAACTGCACAACTCAATCTGTGCTTATCCTCACTGGGTCTTGGTGTGGGACTCGGCTAGGTCAGGCCTCGCTGTTGTGCCTTTTCGCAGACCCAGATTTTCAAGGGCAACAGTGTTGAACTTGGGCGAGCTTCATGGCGACACGTGTTTTGCTTTGGATCAGGTGAAAACGCAATTACTGACTATTGCTCATGGGAGGCACCTGATCCCCCGGGGCATGGGCGAGCACAGAGGGTATTTTGACACCCCTGCACGAGGCCAGCAGGCAGCTTCTGAGCCTGTGCGTCCTCTCCAGAGGTCAAAGTCTAGAACTGAGGCGCACAGTCTTCCAGCAAGCTGTCGGTGATGTAGCTGGAACCAAGATGGGATTCATAGTAGCTTTTCTCGTCAAAGGTGTTAACAGTCCAAACGACGACCTGGATCCCTTTAGCTGACCACTTCCTCACGTAGTCCCTAGAGAACGAGGAATGACCAGTCCTGTTAGGAGAACGACCAGCTGTCTCAGGAATCTATCACCAATATAATCCGTACCACTCAGCGCAGCGCTCAGTGAGTACCAACACCGCCTCGCACGAGCTCCTAACTGGCCCCAGCAACCACCGGGAGTGCTCCAGGACCCAGCATGCCCGAATGTCCTCACACTGTCCCAGCTTAAAACACTTCAGCGGCTCTCCAGTGACCACCTCCTCCTCCCCTCCACCGAAATGTCCGTGACAGCCAAAGGCATGCCTGGCCTAGTCACTGTCTGTCTCTCTGGCGTCATCCCACACCACTCGCCTTTCCCTTCTGTGTGCAGAACACCGATCTTCCTATTCCTTGAAGATCAATGCTCCTTCCTGCTTCTCCCTCTCAGCTGGGACCCCCACTCCCACTCATCCTTCAGAGTGGGGGCTGCCACTTCATCGAGGACGCTGTCCCTGACTGCCCAGGCTAGGCACTGTCTTCACTTACATAGCATATATCTTAGCTGTGCTTTTATATTTACTGAATTTTTGTTTAGCATTTCTCTCTCCCACTTCACTGCAAACTCTATGAGGGCTTTATTTCTTCACCACTGGCGTATTAGTAGGTGTGGATTAACTGTTTATTGAACTGAATACATGCATGCTTTAAGTAATAAACTTACAACTCTAATAATCAGAAATAAGACAGTTACAAAATTGGCAAAAAAAAAAAAAAAAAGGACTCGGAGATTGCTAGCAGGTTAGGGAGTGGAAAGTTTCTTAGAAGTGATTATGGAGCAGAGGGGCCAGGAAGTGGCATGGTGGTTAAGGTGTTGGACTCCCACATGGCTGACTGCAGTTCAAGTCCCAGACCTGGCTACTTGCTTCCTCACTTTCCCCTCCTCTCGCATTCTCTGTCTCTTTGGTCAAATTAACAAAACAAAACAAAACAAAAACAATAAAAACAAATAAAATTAAATAATTTTTAAAAATTAAAGGAAAACAAAAAGAAGTAATGGAGCATAGTCTGTAATGTGCAGCAGAGGAGGGATGGGAGGGGTGAGGCTGGTGTCTGCAGGATGGGTCACTGTGGCTCTACCCTGAATCACATGTTGGCTTTCAAATGAAGCCAATCACAAGAAAAGTAATCCCTCTCTCACCATTGTTTGGCAGGTTCAATTTTTCTTTAAAAGGCACTGTAAAAAAAAAGAAAACAAAAAACCAAACCAAAACACAAAGCTGTCAACCTGTTTTGGACACAGTGAAATATGCCTGAATTCTCCCCACCTAAGACACCAGTGGCATTCCAACTAAACAGAGCGCTTTGCGGGTTACAATCACTCAGGCCGCCCACCTATCAGCCCTTCCTTTCCAAGAACGGCATTGAGAAAATGTGTCAGGAGATAAAAACCTTCCAACTTACGGTGATACGAAATCCTTCTGCATGAGGAAAGCCGAGATCCCGCACAGGTACCACAGGATGTTATGCATGCTCCAGTCGAGCAGAATGTCCAACAGCACAAACACAGACAGTCTCCACACACTGTCGTAGCGTGGCTTCCCGTCGCCTGTGTGGCTGAGGCTCCACGGTCTGTGGGTTAAAGCTGTTATCACATTCTGATCCGTCTGTCGCATCTGAAAGGGGGTTGCGGACAATAAAATGATTAGGCTAGCTCGAGTGTAAACCCTCTCATTAGTTAAGAGGTACCCTGCCATTCTGCTGAGGGGGTCAGAGCTGGTACCCTGCCCAGTGTCTACCAGGACGTCCTCGCTCTTAAAACCCTTGAGAAAATGCGGTGATGCAGTGTGGATGAGAGCACCCTTTCAGTCTGAAAGAACTCCATCCTATCTTTAAGATGAGAAAATTACAATCTCAGGGTCAAATTTTAATGTCATGAGAAAAAAACTTTTAATTGGACATTTGCTAAAATTCTGGCCAGAGAGAATTAATTAGAACTTGATGAGAACAGAATCACGATCGTTTCAGGATTTGCTGGTTAGCTTTGGTCCCTTCCAGAGCAAAAGGCTAAAAGAGTCGGGGGTCATCGATGGGGGGAGAAGTGAGGTGAGAAGAGAGTGAGAAAAATGGACTGTGAGGAGAGGATGGGACGAGGGCAAAGAGAAACAGGGAGAAGTTCTTCTTGTTGAAGAATGCTACTTGCAGCCAGCCGGTGGCATGGTGGTTAAGGTGCTGGACCCCCACATGGCCAACTGCAATTCAACTCCCAGACATGGTGGCTTGAAAATCACACCTGGTGTGCATGTGTTCATGCCCCAAATCCCAAGAAGAATAGAGGAGAAGGGATTGCAGCATGTCCATCCCCCCCAGAGGGTGATTTCTCACTGTCCCTCTCTCTGTGTCTGTGTGTCTCTGTCAAACACATGTGCCCTATGGCAAATACTTAAAAGAGATAAAAAAGAAAGAAAAAAAGAATGCATCTCTCTCTCACTCTGTCCCTCTCTGGTCGAATTTAAATAAATAAATAAAGTTAAATAATTCTTCAGGAAAAAAGGAGGGGGGACCTGCAGGTGGTATGGTGGTTAAAGGCGCTGGACTCCCACATGGTCAACCACAGTTCGAGTCCTAGACCTGGTGGCTTGCTTTCTCACTTTCTCTCTCTTTCTCACTCTGTCCTTCTCTGGTCAAAATAATAAATGAATAAAATAAATAGATAAAGTTAAATAAAAGAATTCTTTAAAAAAAAAAATAAGAATGCTCCTGAACCAACTCATTATTTTGGAAGCTGGTAAATGCAGAGAAAGATTAAGCAGTTTTCTTATTTATTAAGTAACTAGCACAGAAGGAGAAGTTTCTTCTTATAGATGTGTTCTATCTGTAACATAAAAAAATGAGAATCGAAACATCAACACTGTGCAATATTTTGGAACCTGTAAAGGGACAGGCCTGGCCACTGAGCATCAATAGCTGTTAACGACGATAACGAGACTCAACCAGAGGTTATGCCTCCTGATGGAAGAACTTAACTGTGACCTTGATTCAGTTCAATGTAACAGTCATCTGTCTTATGCTTATAACAACCTAATATCATGTACAAGAAAAATCCTAAATTTTACCTTATAGATAACTTCTGGCAAGAAAGAGCAGACCATACTATTATTGTATAGTTGAGGAAATTCCATATATATTTTCTTTAGAGCATCGGTAGCCTATAAAAGAGATTCATATATTTAAAGTTTATAAAGCATAATAGCCCCAGCTAATAAATATCCCATATCAAGTACAATCCTATGAAACGGATCAAAAGTGTACTAATACATGGGGATGCCTACTGCATTGGCAGAATCCATTATCCACCGATACACCATAAACTCTCATTTGTGGCAAATGAGGAAGAAGACGGCTGTCTTATTTAGATTCTCATCCCTTTTGTCATACTTTTGAAAAGTGTGGCAGGTTGTGGCTAGGAGGCCGTAAGCAAAATTTTTAACTCCTTTCCTTACACCTCACTTTAGCCACTAGGAAGTCCTTCTACACCCACAATGGTCACTCTCTGTCTTCCCTTGATAAGCGTGAAGCGACCAGCCTAGAAACTACAGAGCAGATTTTGCCAGTCCAGGAGACCGAGAGGAGACACCATCCATCAACAAGGAGGAGGACAAGGGGACACAGGGTTGGGGGACTGGAAGAACGAAGTCTCCCAATTTTCCCCAAGAGGAACAGAAGTTTCTTTTCATAGTAGTCTGGCAATAAGTGAAAAAGAACTGATAGAATTTAAACGCTGACATTTTGTACGCTTTAAAGAATTTTAACATCCACAGCAGTTTAACAATCAACCAGACAGTACGTGGAATGCAATGCTGTGTAGCCTAAACTAGAAATACTGCTGCCTTTTGGAATGTGACAAACACCCATAACCAAGTGTAAGCATTCCCTCCCCAAATAAGAAACCACACAGACATATTTATGTGATGCCTGCCCTTCACCAATAAACCGGGGGCGAGCTACACACCCAGAGTTGTTTCCCTGCCATTTGAATTCACACGCACCATGTGGAACTGCCTGCGTTATTTAATTCTGATGTTTCTTTAATTATTCCCACTTTGCCCACAAGGACATTGGACGACCTTCAGGTTAATGTACCCGGTAGTGAGCGGCAGAGCTCAGTTACCCTGTGACCCTGGCAGCTGTACTCCCGAGTCAGAGTGCCGCCAGCACTTGAGCACTATGCTGCCTGCTATCTCGGTTAATTACATCACCATGTTCTACCCAGTCTCGGTTCAACACCTGTGAGCACCCATCCAGAAAACCAAAATAGCTCAGTTTTATGTGACCTTCTAAAGGTCAGTATGCCGTGTGTGAAACGTAGGATGTGTCATGGCTCCCAAACGTGGGCCATACCATCAACGAATCCTGAAGTGCTCATTAAAAACGCGTGTTTTTTGGGACCAGCAGTTAGTGTAATGGCTATGTTGCGGGACTCCCATGTAGTCGACTACGGTTCGCTTCCCTGACCTGGTGGCTTAAAACTCACAGGCACATATGTCTGCGTGCCCAAGATCCTGAGAGGAGAATGGAGGAGAAGGGATTGGGGCGTGGCCATCCCCTCTGGGGGGTGATTTCTCACTTTCTGTCTCTCTATCTTTCTCTGTCTGGCGAGCACACGTGCCCTGTAGCAAAAAACAAAACAAAACAAAAAACAAAACAAACAAACAAAAAAACCTCTCAAAAAAAAAAGTGTGTTCTTTGACCCCACCTGCACATTTTCAGGATCTTCTCTATTTAGTGTGGGCCCAAGAATCAGTACTTTTAATTAGGTATTCCAGGTGAGTCTATACAGACTGACTGGAAAAGCTAGCTGTATTACCATGATCAGTTCACTAGCATAATAAATTAGCGACCTTTCTCCTCTATCTTCAAAAAATAGGAGTTTACTATAAAAAAGTTAGGCCATATACTTAGGCTCACACTTCAGGTTTTAACTATACCCTGGGCTTGATTAAAACAAAACAAAACAAAACAAAACCTTTGGTGTCAACAGAATTCTCATTAGATATGGCTAGTACTGAATACATATATTGTTACTCCAATTGCTCAAATGATAAAAAAAAGTGTAAGTCCTTGAAAAGCTGATTCTTAGAGAACAAATGCAATTTGAACCACATTTTCCCAATGATTTCCAATGCAATATGTTTTTATAAGTAAAAGTATGTTTTAAAATGTAAGCAAAATCTTATATAGAAATGTCATACATATTTTTAAAAAATATAGTAATTTTTGTATTAAGTACATAACTACTCAAATCACTCAATAACCAAACTATACATAAGGGCTAAAAATAATACAAGGGCATAAATCTACATAAAAGATATAAACTGTTAACTATCAGAAGCCGTAAATACAGGAGTTCTCGTTCAATGCGATTCATAGTTGTCTATCAAAGGCCCTTAATTTATGAACTAAATGCAACTGGCCTTGTGTACAACTCCTGAATTCCTTTTCTTGAGGCTACTTGAGTGGACTGTTCCAGAAGTACCTCTTTACTGTTTACTTAATATCTTGTGCAAATGCTTTCTGTAAATAAAAGAAACGACTCTGGTTGTAGAATATCAGTTGTTAAAAGGTTCCATGATTTACTATTTCATTAAAGATGAGAATTTTATCGTCATAACCTTCCATTAAGCAAATGTATGGTAATTTGTGAACATAATTTAAGAGAAAAGAAATGCCAAACTAGCTCCTTGGTTTTGGAGGTGATCAGCAATGAAACAGACGTCTTTTTAACAAAGTGAAGTCCACGGTATAAACTGTACCATATTTGCATGGCCTTTGACATCAAAGAAGATTGTGAGGTTATGGGCTAGGCACTCTGCAACGGCTTCCCTCAGGGTAGGGATCTTTTCATCAGGGAAATCATTCCTATAAGAGAGGGAAGAGGAATAGTACATTGTAGGAAAAAGAGAAAAGGAAAAGTTTAGTGAAAAGAAGAAAGAGCGTTTTCCCCAACAAGTCCAAGGACAATTTATTATAGGTATTGGAGCCAAATTACTGACACTTTTGACCAAAGAATAGCAATGCTAAGGAAAATCATGAACTTGGTGAGAGATCACTGAATTACTGCTAATTTAATAACAGAGTTAGTAACCCTACTCACCAAAGGGCAGAATATATATGCTATCTTTGGAGAACTTAGAGACTTAAAAATTAATTGCTAGAGAGCTCATGTGCTTGCCAGAGACAGTCATGTAGAGGCAGAGACAGGGCGCTGGAGGAATGAAGAGAAAGCAGTCCCCAAAGGGATGTGGTCAGGTTGCAACTCCTTCTCTTCCATTTCTCCACCCTGTCAGGATCTGCGACATCCACACATCTGCACCTGGCATGTTTTTCAAGCCACCAGATTCAGGATTTGAACTGTGGTTGGCCATGTGGGATCTGGCTCTTAATCACTAGGCTATCAGACTGACAGAAGACTTCGTTTTAAGACTTAGAAATTAAGTTTCTAAGAATCCTATGCAGGAGAAATTCCTAGGAATACATAAATGTATTAACTATATTGTACATTTACTTAAGTGAAACTGTTTCAAAGAAGTAATTTTTGACTAAGAAAATGATAGTTCATGGGGCTGGCAGGTGGTGGGGTGGTTAAGGGCACCGGACTCCCACATGACCGACTGTGGTTCGAGTCCCAGACCAGGCAGCTTGGTTTCTCACTTTCCCTGAATCTCTCTCTCTCTCTTGCTCTATCCCTCTCTGGGAAATTTTATTTCTAAAAAATAAAGAAATAAACTTAAATAAAAATAATTCTAAAAAAATGAAAAAAAGGCAAAAGAAAATGATAGTTAAGTGCCTAATACATGAGAAAGCAGCTTTTCTCTCATAATCGAACTTAACATGATTTTATTTATACTAGTTCAACTATATTTTTCAACTGTAAGATCTTGATTTATTCTGTCAGTCATTCCAGTCTGTGTCTATTCCCTGGCAGTGAAAGCGGGAGACCTGAATTTGCTGTTCCTTTGGCCACTCTTTGTTTCCATGCCTCTAAGGGGAACATCTGACCACCTCGAGCCCAATTCTAGAGAAAAATACTGTTTTCCCTAAACACGGTCCCTAAGCTGATTAATTCATTTGGTGTTGGGCCAAAGAAAATGCTACTTGTTCCATTTGTGGAACAAAAATTGATTGAATTAAAGATATTGATTAAGGTGGTACATTGACTCGGATAGGTACCTTCTTAAAGGATTTTTAAGGATGATGCTGACTCTAAGCATTTTTTGTTTTATGTGTTAACTTTAAATGTGACATCTCATTAGCTATAATATTAACACCAGCCTTTCCCTCCCACACAGCATAGGGAAATATCTAGTGACAGGAAGGAGTGATTCCAGTAGCCTAGACTCAGAACTTTCAAGTGGTATCAATATTCTTTCCCCCCTACAGTACGATTTCCTTTGTCTGACTTTAATTTCTCTCAGATCCTAGGAAAATGAGGCCTGACTCATGTTTTAGAGAGGGCTATACCTTAACTGCTGAGTCAAATACTCAATATTCAAGGAGTATTGATCGTTATTCAGAGAACTGATCATGTAGGAATAACAGTGAGTACACATTGTTCAGTATTACAAAGAAAACAAGAGGGATTTATGGGGACCAGCAGTTAGCGTAATGGCTATGTCGCTGGATTCCCTCGTAGTCGACTGTGGTTCATGTCCCAGACCCGGTGGCTTAAAACTCACACCGGGCACGTGTGCATGCGTGCCCAAGATCCTGAGAGGAGAATGGAGGAGAAGGGATTGCGGCGTGACCATCCCTCCTGGGGGGTGATTTCTCGCTTTCTGTCTCTATGTCTCTCTCTCTGTCTGCCTGGCGAGCACACGTGCCCTATAGCGAAAACCTCTCCAAAAAAAAAAATGAGGAGAGGGATTTAAATAACCACATTCCAAAGTATATTATCAAGTATACCAATTCCAAAGTTGTTTATCACTGTTAACAGGGGGAAGGGTATGGGTTCTGCGGTCATTCAAGTTTGGGAAACGCTAAGTTAAAGGGTAAGAATTGAGTGAGGCGGACTGCTTATCTCCAAGATGAGTATCCCAAAGTATGGTATTTGACCTTCCTTGATCTTAGAACCCCTTTATTATAGATCATCTTATAGGACTGGCTCTGATACATGTATTGGGTTGCTGGAAAAGTCATTATGTATTTTTTCTATGTTTTTCTAAGCAAAAATGCATGGTGACTTTTCTGACAACCCAATATTTTAGAAGCTATTGGCTTAAACTATGTCAGAAAGGGATTAAATTAGACATCTAAAAGAACTTTCACTCTTACAGGGCTGACCCTCACTGGAGGCAACCAGAAACAACATGGTACAGTGCGTATTTCTCTGAACTGAAAATTGGGTTCTCTAGATTCTAGTGCTGCTTTCTTTATGAACTAGTTATTTGCTCTTGAGTAAGTCATTTAACTTTCCTGGTATCTCTGAAAGCAGCATTGATCCAGAGCTGCAGTGCCCAATATGGTAGTGACATATAGATATTTAAGTTTAAATTTACATTTATATTTAGTTAAAAATTCAGATTCTGGGGGGCCAGCAGGTGGCGTGGTGGTTAAGGGTGCTGGACTCCCACATGGCTGACCATGGTTCAAGTCCTGGACCTAGTGGCTTGCTTTCTCTCTCTCTTTCTCTCTTTCACTCTGTCCCTCTCTGGTCAAATTAAACTAAGTAAAGAAAAAAAGGTTAAATCAAATAATTCTTAAAAAAATTTTTTTTTTTTAAATTTCAGTTTCTGGGCTGGCAGGTGGTATGGTGGTTAAGGGCACTGGACTTCTACATGGCTGACTGTGGTTCAAGTCCCAGACCTGGTGGCTTTCTATCTCTCTCTCTCTCTCTCTCACTCTGTCCCTCTCTAGTCAAATGAAAATGAATAAATAAATAAAGTTAAATAAAATAATTCTTTAATAAAAAAAAAATTCAGTTTCTTTGTTGCACTAGCCACATTTCAACTGCTCAACAGTCACACATGGCCACCATAGTGGGTGGTGTAGATGTAGAACATGTCCAGCATTGCAGAAAGCTCTCCTGGACAGTGTTATTCTAGATGATTTCTAAGGCCTTTTCTACTACATAGAATTCTATGACTCCTCAGAAGTTTGTTATAAAGATATGAAGAGTTAAAAGGGTTAAAATATGGTATTATTGGGGCCAGGTCGTGGCCAGGGGTACTGCAATTGGACCCACATGGGAAAGGTCTTGGGTAGACGTCCTGGGACCTCCCTGGGCGTGCCAACAGAGACTGGAGGTGGATGAATGGCAGGAATACCCTGTTTGGGATGCCTGTCTCTTTCTTTCTGTTTCTCTCATGGAATAAATAAAAATAAACAAAAAAAATGTATAAAAGATGATATTACTTAACAAATGTGCACAATATAATGTAATGCTCATGGTGAAGAAGATGAATATGGGTATATCTTTGATTTGATTATTGTATACTGCATGCATGCCTTAAAAACCATTCTGTAGCCCTTGTAAGGGCTACGGATTGTATGTATACCAGAAATCATTACTAAAATGTGCCTCTTGGTATAACTAAAGGCAAGAAAATTGATAAGCAATTTCTTTCACCCTCTTGATACTGTCGTTTAAATGACAGTACAAAGTAATTGTCATAATAGTGATTACAGTATTATCTTCAGAATAATTCTGAGGCCAAATTTGGCTTCAATGGGAAAGATTAAAAACACACAAGCCATATTTCTGTTGTTCCTGGTACTTGCTCATTACTTGGGAATATATAGTATATAGTTCAAAACAAAACAACTCTCCTGGGGCGGAAGATATAATTAGAAGGTGCTGGTGTCTCTCTGTGATCTCTGATGAAAGCTAAGAGATGCTTAAGTGACCGTAAACTACTTACCTGAGTCTGTGATTTGCTGCAGGATTAAGCTTCCGAATTTGTTCAAACGTCAAGTCACACAATCGACCAGTGCCATCGGTTGTCCTATCTACTGTGTTGTCATGCATTAAGACAGGGATCCCATCAGCAGTAAACTCAATGTCCAACTCCACGCCTGTTGCTCCGTTCTTAGCTGCCTTAACAAAAGCATCAACAATATTAATGTCAAATGGCCACAAACCTCATTTCACATTTAGATGCTCAAGAAGACCAAGTGGGCTGGCCAAGGAGACAGTTGTTCTGACGGATTCCTTTCCCTTTCCCTATGACATAGCAACTCTGACCTCTTGCTGTTTTCCATGGAGGTTAACCTTATTTCAACTCCTACACTATGGATCTCTTAAAAACTTCAATTTTCCCACTAGTCCCACTCTACTGGGAGAAGATGGGGTGACTCTGGGATCTTAAGTTGGACAAGTTCCACTGTTTACCTACGTATCTGTTGGGATGGTAGGTCTGAAAATCCCCTGTGCTTGTTGAATACTCAGCTCTTTCACTAGTTTGGCATAAACAAGATGAGTCAGGTTTTTGTCGATTAATTCTACCCTCTCAATAGAAACACCAAGGCTGCTTCTAGGAGACACTAAGTTCTGTTTATAGGTGTGGCACTGGCTTTTGGCCAGTAAGTTGGTAAGTTCGACATTAGAATTTATCTAAAAACAGAATGACTACTACATTTTATGAGCCACACTCCTCTGAGACACACTATCATTGGCTTCCTCATCACAATGAAAATGAGAAAAGGTCATCACAATCAAGATTTCTTATTTTCATTTCTAAAATTGTAAGTCATGGTGCCTTGAAACATACATGGGAAACAGTGAGAAGACTGACAGATGTTAACTTTGGGCCCTGTTTGCCTCAATCTTCCTACCTTAAACAATAGCTATTATTTATCAAACCTTTCTATTTGTCAGGCACTATTCATAGTACTTTAAACATAGTACTTTAGCCCATTTGATCCTCACAAGCCTGTGGCAGGTACCATTAACACTGATATTTTACAGATGAGGAAACTGAGACAAAGAAGTTTCAAGCATTTTGCACATTTTCAGAACAAGTGTCTATATAATGTTGTCTACGATGTGTGTCATCGCTTATAGAAAGAAGCTGAAGTGCCCTTAAGACAGTTACCCTCAAAGGTACCGTGACGCATATCACTGGCCCAGACTGCCATGCAGGTACTCCGTGCTGAGGCGCTCTTCCTAGTCCTCTCCTCTTGAGTGCCTATGACAGAGAGGCTATGGAAAGTCACTGACAAGATTCAGAGCGATGTGTGGGAAGTGGCTTCTGTAGGTGACGCTTGAGCAGTTTTCAAGCTGGTGAGGGATCTAATAGTTACATGCTTCTCTTCTCCAGCCGACACACATTCTGGAAGCACTGGGTACTTCCATCCCGGAAGGCCTGTAGCTGCTTCACTGATCCTTGTAGCTCACCCATTACCAACCAACTCCACACAATCAAAGACTGCCCTGGTTCTGCAATATTTTCTGGTAGTCAGGCACTGTATCAAGAACTTCACTCTGAGAAGATCCAAGACATGTCTTGGGTTCCACTTCAACTTTAGTAACTTTGGTTTCTGTCGATCCTCCGGATGTACCTCTTCAACCTCCTTCTGGTAGCACACTAAGAGCTGATCCTAACTCTGACATTCTAAAGAAAACCTTGTTACGTATTCCTTCATCTCAGCTGCTGATGTCTCCAGAGACAAAGCCATTGCTTTTCCTTTTGAATCTTTAAAACATTTTGTAGTGTTCTATCACTTTCCAGTCTGTCCGTAAAGTGTATCAATTCTTCAGAAAGAGAAGCATCAGGTTGAAAATCGATCTTTTGGCCCTAAACCTTTCAAGACTGAAGTCCTTAGCACTTCCTAGGAAAGGTTCAAGTTTCTGAACAGAGAACTGGGAACTAGAAAGCAGGAGAGGCAAGCCGTTTGCTTTCTGCCAAGTTGACACTGATGGACCTGCTGAGGTCTTCTAAGATCTCTGATCTAGTCACTGAGGTCTTCCTGGGTGGAGAACCCTCTTAGCCTTGTCCATCCAGCCTGGAGACTGGTCTGGGTGGAGGGTGCAGTCCGCCCACCTAGTCTGAAACTCCCACCTACCAGCTCTCGTTTCCTCTTAAGACCAGGAATCAACAGGCACAATGGTTACTATCCACAATGTTTACTATCGTTACATAAAGGTATGCTAACCTTAACTCTTCAAGACATGTATGGAATTTAGCTGTAATTCCCTTGCGACACAGCAGGATATGAAACACTGTAGGTGAATCTGTATTTGGCATATATGTTTCCTCATTCATGATTTACATTTGGTCAAACATGTTACTGCCCAAACAGCTGAGTATCTCCTGTGTTCAGTTAACACTATGCTAAGGCAACTTACAAAAAACTAAGTTGGAATGGAAGTTAATGATAATTATTTTTCCTATAGCAATTGTCATCTTTCTTTTCATGACAATATATCCTGTATTTGTGTTACTTCATCTGACCTCTCTAAATTTAAAATTGTAAAATACATTTTTCAATACCTTTTTTAAAAAGAATTATTTAGGGACAGCAGTTAGTGTAATGACTATATCGCAGAACTCTCATGTAGCCAACCGTAGTTCGAGTCCCAGACCTGGTGGCTTAAACTCACGCTGGGTGTGTGTGCATGCATGCCCAAGATCCCAAGAGGAGAATGGAGGAGAAGGGATTACGGCGTGGCCATACCCCCTGGGGGGTGATTTCTCCCTTTCTATGTCTCTGTCTCTCTGGTGAGCACATGCACCCTATGGCAAAAACCTCTCAAAAAAAAAAAAAAAGAATTATTTATTTAATTTATCATTTATCACCTTTTTTTAAAAGAGATTTTTGCTATAGGGTGTGTGCACTTGCCAGAGAGAAAGGGAAAGACAGAGAGAGAGAAAGCAAGAAATCACCCCACAGAGGGGATGGCCACACCACAATACCTTCTCCTTTGTTCTCTTGGCATTTTAAAGATGTACGCACACACACCTGGTGTGAGTTTCAAGCTGTCAGTTACGGGACTTGAACTGTGGTTGGCCTATGGGAGTCCAGGGCCTTAACTACCATGCCACCTGTTGTCCCCCTCCAATATCTATACCTATCTATATATTTAAAAGAATTATTTTGTTTAACTTTATTTATTATTATTATTTTCCAGTTTGATCAGAGAGAGACAGAGAAAGAGAGAGAAGAAAAGTGAGAAAATGCAAGCCACCAGGTTTGGGATGTGAACCGTGGTCGGCCATGTTGGAATCAAATGCTTTTAGCCAACACACCGCCTGCGGACCTTTTAGATGTATTTTTAAACAGAAAGCTGGAGAAGCTGTTTTTACTGTCTCTGTTCTATCATAAAGAACCAAAGTAAAAGAAGCATACAAGTTTAACATGGTCATACAGAAGAACTCAGGTACCTTCCACTAACTCAAAGGTTGTCCTTTTGACCTCCTTCCTTCTTCAGGCTTATTATTATCATTTTTTTATCTTTACACTAAGATGGTTTGAAAGAGTCAAGCCACCTTTGGATCCTTGGCACAAATAGCTTACATTTGTGGAGGTTTTGCCAAGTCTTATTTATGTGGATTAGTTATTTGGGAGAAAGCATCATTATTCCAATTTAACAGAGGAAAAAAAGGGCAGGGCTGAGACTAGGGTGAGGAGAGCTGTCTTAGGCTACCTCACTTGCAGCACCCTAGTCAAGCCTGATGGGGGCACGAAAGCTTAAAGAACTTGCTCATTACACAAGACTATCTGTGCCTAGCAGGGCAAAGAAAAGTCTATCTTTTTATATACTGGAACACATTCTAACCAACATCAAAGAACAGTGGGGCTTGGAATCAGTCTAGAAAGAGCTGTCTATGTTTGAGCCACAGTTTTCTTACGCATCGGATGTTAAAATAATGTCTCAAAGAAGGACCAGCAGTAGCATGGTGGTCAAGGTCACTGGATCCCCTATGGCCAACTATGTGGTTTGAACCTCGACCCAGCGGCCTGAAACTTACATGTGCATTTGTTCCCAAAATCCCGATAGGAGAATGGAGGAGAAGGGATTGTGCCATGGGTATCCCCCTGGGGAGTGTTTTCTCACTCACCCCCTCTATCTCTCTCTCTCTCTCAGGCAAGTACACAAGACAAAAACTAAAACTAAAGTCTCAAAGAAATGAGAGGATTGGGACCAGCAGTTAGTGTAATGGCTATGTTGCTGAACTTCCATGTAATCGACCGCAGTTCGAGTCCCGGACCCGGTGGCTTAAACTCGCGCCGGGGGGGGGGGTGCGTGCCCAAGATCCCAAGAGGAGAATGGAGGAGAAGGGATTGTGGTGTGGCCACCCCCCCCTAGGGGGTGACTTCTTGCTTTCTGTCTCTATGTCTCTCTCCGTCCTTCTAGCGAGCACATGCACCCTCTAGCAAAAACCTCTCCAAAAAAAAAGAAAACAGAAATGAGAAGATTCAATACATGTATTTACACAGCAGTAAAAGTGCCTAATCCACTGAAAAGCTCAAGACTGCCAAGAACTGAGAGAGATCAAGAGCCTCAGAATTGCCTCATGGAAAAGGGAGGCAAGCCATGTGAATGTACATGTTTAGGGGGGAAGGTGACAAGGGATGCTTAATTTAGAGGACAAGCAAAGGCATTTCTATGAAGGATGATCCATTTAGAATAACTTCAATTACTGACCACGACTCTACTTGACCTGAGCCATTTGGGGTTTAGTTCACACACCAGCCTCTGTTCTGTTCCTTGAAGTCAGGCCACATACCACCTCTCCTGGTAACTGAACACTAACATCCTTCCCACCTAAAGCCCTTTGCACCTGCTGTTTCTGATTCCTGGACCGCTCCTCACCCAGATCTCATAGCTACCTCTTCCTCATAATTCTGACCTCAGTTCAAATGTCACTTCTTCAGAGAGAATTTATCTGATTACTCGATCCAAAGAGCAGAACTCCTACCCACTCATTTTTAAAAACTCACTACCTTATTGCCTCGTTGCACATTTTGCCCTCCTAAAGTATTTCATCTACATGTTTACTTGTTTAAGGCCTGTCTCCCTCACTCTAATGTAAGCTCGATAAAGCAGGGACCCTTTGGGTCTGGTTCAAGGCTGTAACCTCTGCATCCGGCATGTAGCAACTGTATAAATATTTGCTGTATCCTATAAATACCTGTGGTCGGGAGGTTCCTAGACACCGGGAGGGATCAAGGACCCCGGAATGTACTGCTTGTGGGCGCGTGGGGAACTGGTAAAGCTATCACCAGGGAACCTCCGGAAGGACAGACAGAAGTCGAAGCTACTAAGACTAGGGGCGCGAGGCGTGGGGGGCTCACCTGCCGAATGGCCGCCAGCGTGTTCTCGGGCGCATCGTGGCTGCCTCCGCGGTGGGCGATGGCGGAGACGCGGCCTTTGGGCTTGAGCACCTGCAGGACCCTGCGGGAGGGCACCGGCTCAAAGCTGAAGAGGCGCAGCAGGACGAAGAGGCAGCCGGTGAGCAGACAGGCATTGAAGGGGCTGCGCGTTACCACCATCAACAGCAGCAGCAGGAAAGAGAAGGGGCCCAGGAGGCCCCCCTGTTCCTCCCACAGCCACATGCCGGCGCCCGCACCGGCACGGACCGGAGTCCCGGACCCGCCGGGCTCCGGGGGCAGGAAAGCGAGAAGCGAGCGGAGCCGGAGGCGATGGCCGCAGCTGGTTCCCTCTCCGGGGACCAGCGCCGCACAATGGCGGCGGCGGACACTTCCAGACAGGAGCCCGCGGTCCAACCAATCAGGGCCCGGGACCTCCAGCGCTGGGGGCGGAGCCGCTGTCACGGCAACAGGGGCGGGCCTAGGCTCCAGGCTCAAATTCCAAAGAGGTTTTGGCTAATCTGGGGTCCGGACTTTCCCTGGGCTAGGAGTGGAAGAAGAGGGCCAGCTTAAGGCTGCAGGACTGGAAAGGATACTAGGGACTCCTTCGCCCTACAGGATTCAGAAGTCCAGGGAACCCTGAAGGCTCCCAACGCCTTTAGGCTCATTAATCAATTCAGTTCAAGATTTGTCAAACACTGCCTAGTACGGTCACAACAGTGAACTGAACATACTGGGTGGCTGTTCTTGTGGAATTTACATTCTCGTGGAAGGACATAATAGAATTAATAAAAACAACCAACATTTGCAAAGCACTTACCATGCCCCCGAACTGCACCTCATAACATGCGTTATATGCATATTTCCTGTATTCTCACAACAGCCCCATTAGGTAGGTAGCATCTCTGGAGACTGAGTTCAGTCGATTTTGGAAGATAGTGCAGTTTTTGAGAGAATGAAAGAGCATAGCAAAGGAGGCACAATCAGATGATAAAACTGGAAGGGATTTTAATGATTCCTTCATTTCACAGCTGAGGAAACTGAGGACAGGTGAATTGAACAAATAGCTGACATCATGCTACCCCAGCGGCTTGTGACCTTTCCACGGCTCCTCTTTCTCCTAGTTTTACTTCTCCTCCTAAGAGCTCAGGTAGCAGGCACCTTGCGGACTTATCTCAACTGTGCCTCACAGTTGTGATAGCTACAGGCACTTTTAACCACCGTTTTACATATGCAAAAATAGGAACCTGAAGGAGGGTCAGTAAGTGGCCAAAGGTAAAGTCGAGTTAAGGAATGAAAGAGGGCTCTAAATCACATTTTTGAAAATTGGTAACATGTTTTTCAGATAGAGAATTTTGGCAAAAGAGTTAGTTTTATCCCCCCTGTTTTTTCTGTTACATTTTTCTGCGAGACTATTTTCTCACCAATTTGCACAAAGGTACGGAAGTCTTAAGGTTTTGATTGAGCATCTAGGATTCAGCAATATTTTTTATATACAAAGAAAAAGTTTTGGTGACTGTCGTCGGTTTTCTCATTACCATACAGATAAGCAAAAAATGTAACTTCAAGGAACACTTCATGGGGACTTCATACTCTGAACAGCATTTCTGTTGTAATAAATTATAATTTTAGAGGCGCTAATTGGTAGTGAAGACTACATTCCCCAACGTGCATCGCATTGGCCGTAGGTATTACGCCCAATATCACGGACGCGCAATGCACCTTGGGGATTGTAGTTTCTGGAGGCCCAACCGTTCCAACTGCCCGGGAAAGCAACCACCGGAAGTACCAACCCTGAGAGGTGGAGTCCGGGTGGCGGCGGCGGCGGCCGTTGCCAGGAGCCCGCGTTGCCGCCAGAGACCCGTAATATGGCCGGGAGGAGGAGGAGAAGGCGGCGGAGGACCGAGCTGCGTTCTGTCAGTACCAGTTGAGCCTTTTGCTCCCTGACAAGGCCCGTAGCGCGGGAAGAAAAGCCGACGGGGCCGTGGGGGATCAGGTGTGTGCATGCGGAGGAACTGGACTGTCCCCGGATCGCGGCTGAGCGACTCCCCGGCAAGACGGAATTGGCGCCCTGAGGAGCTGAGGGCGGGCTCGGCGCTGGGCTTGTGGGCCTCGGGCCCCTGGAAAGACGCCTGGTATGGGGAGGCCAGTACCTGGGGGCCGGGGGCACGGGGCGCGGAGGTGATGCTCGAATGGTGGCGCCGCTTGGTGGGCTCTCGGGATGGATCCTTCTCTCAGAGGAGCTGGGGAGGTGGGCGTGGGGCGCCGGGATCCGGGTAGAGGATCCTTGGTGCACTGACTCGGGCCAGAACCAGAGAGCCCCGATCTGGCGAGAAAACAGGGATAAAACTGGGCGGTTCGCCTTCTCCCTCCCGCGGTGCGGCATCCCCGGGGTGTGCACTGGCCATTTCTGAACGCCGGTTAACCACAATCAAAGGCCCGAGTAGCGCTGTTTATTCCGCCTTTGCGACTCTGGATCAGCACGAGGACAAAAAAGCAAATTCTCTTGGTCGCTCCCAGGCTGCTTGGTGCTTCTCACCCTTTGCTTCTCCTATCTGCACGTAATCCCAGTGCCCAAGCCCCAGTTAGGGCAAATGGCAGCGCCTAGACATTGATTCGATGGGAAGGGGTCTGGAGAGAGCGAAATGAGGAAGCTGGAGGTCCCCCTTCCTGTGTCTTTAAGTTACATTTGACTCTTGGCAGGAACCAAGCTCTGAGGCTGGCCTCCAGGAGTTCATAGGCTAGAACTAAAAGTCATCACCATCATCTTCGTGAGAAAAGCAGCTCCCACGTATGGATGCCGTCTGCGTGCCCCGCAGTATGCTAGCACAGTGGCACTGCATGCATGAGCTCATCGAATGCTCTCAAAATGCCTTCCAGACAGATAAGGAAACTGAGGCGTAGGGCTGGTGACAGGCTCACAAGAATGTTCAGCTAATCATAGGTACCCCAATAAGAAATCTTCCCCTTTATTACCTCTACAAGAAGTTTACGTCCGCAGGGACTGATGGTCTCAACAGCCAGCTAGGCTCTGAAAACAAGGCAGGATCTGTTCCGTGGTACTTTGACCATTCCCTTTGGTGACCTTTCTGGCAGCATAATGGTTAAGGGCAGATGGGATCTTGAGCCTATGGGTCAGTAGTTAGTTCTCTGTGGTGTACAGAAAATGGAGAAGACAAGGCGTGTCTGAACCTGCCGCAGCTGACAAATTATTAATGGAAGTGGACCAGTAATGCTTGATGGTAAAGTATGGGGTAGTCGATTTGTGGTTGGGGTGGACATGTAGTCAAGGCTCCCTTAAAAGAAAGCCTTGCTGACAGTGGTAATTGTGGGATGAAATGTAGAGTGCCCTCTCATTTAATCATGGAATATGGACTGTGCACTTTTTAAATGGTCACCTTTGCAGTTTAGAGGTACCAGTTTCTCTGGGAATAGGGTCATCCATGAAGCCACCTTTCTCTAAATTCTATTTTTCTTTGCTGCCTTCTTTGCTGTATAGTCTGCCTCTTCTTTTTTCCTCCTCGTTCTCATTCCTGGTTGCCCTAAATACCCTAATTCACTCATTCAATACTTTTATCAAGTGCCTACTATGTGCTGACACTGTTCTGTGTAATGCGAATTCAGTGAGCAAGACTGAGGAAGTACCTGTGCTTATGGAGCTTACATTTTGGTGGAGGAAGACATACAAAAATCAAGGAAATAAGCAAGATCATTTCAGATAGTGGTAAGTGTTATGAACATTGGGAAACAGCTGGTTAATGTGATAGCGACTGTGGCAGGGTTAATTTACAGGGTGTAATCAGGGAAGGCCTCTCTGAGGAGGACACTTCCAAGCTGAGACCCAAGACTGAAAAGGATTTAGTTATGCTTCAGGATCCTTTGATAACTTCCTTACTCTCCTTATTAGCACTTGTATTTGAATGGTTAATACATTGTTACATTCTGTAAGTTATGCTATAATAATGCTATAATAATATATTACTGTGTATCTGTAATATATATTTAAGGATATGAGTAACTTTCTGAAACAATGAGGGATATCTCTATGATATTACTGAGAGAAAAATAAAACTATTGTCATAAAGGTATTTTATTTCCTTAAATTTCCCAGACCTTTATAGTTAAATTTCATGTTTTGCTTGTGTATCTATAACAAGTACATTACATTACTTGTGTTGATAATTTAATTACATTCTGTGCAATGCTAGATGTGTGGGTTGTGTTAAGGAAATACTCTGATATGGATTCATTTCAATTTCTTTTACATCTTACCTACTGAATATTTTGATGGTTAAGATATCAGAATGTGGAGTGAAACCTAGACTAAAAAATGGTTATGTGATGAGGTGTTTTGTTTTTCACTTTTGCTTTATGAATATGAGTTTGCAAAACAATCTCATTCACACCCTAGAGAACCATTTCTTTGGAAGTAAACTCTTTACTTTGCATAAATTGAACATAGAAATAATGACAATAGATGGAATGACAGGAAAAAGTTTTGCTACTGATAAAACTACCAACTGGCCAAAAGTAACAATATATTTTCTTTTTTCATAATCCAGTTCTAATTTTGAATATGGTTTTCTTCGTTTATAATTGTACTATAATTTGTCCTTGATACTTTAGTGTATGCTACTGAATTTTTTAAGTACTTCGCAGCCTAGGTCTATCTTATTTCATCTTTGTACATCATTAATTGAATTTCCCTGCTCTCTTTTTGTTGTTGTTGTTGTTAAATAGTTAATTGTTTTAAAATGAACACTTAAAGGAACACTGTCCTATTAGGTTTTCTGTTTCTAAACTTCATGCCCCTGCTGGTTTTGATTCTGACCATGTCTCTTTTTTTATTCTCCCTTGCCTACTTAAAGGAAACAGTGCCATATTTAACCTATATGCTATACAAATAGGCACTGTTTATTGAAACATTTAACATGTGCTAAATGAATGAATTTAGTGGTTTCCTGGTTACCTTATATTTTCATAGCCCCTATCTATTTTCCAGAAATGGTGAAATTACTGGGCTGATCATTGTTAAGAGTTGGCAATGATTCAATTTTCAACAATAAAATAGATTTAATACCAGAGCCAATTGATTTTCTGTGTTCCATCTTTGGCTGAGTTGGCTGGTGCTCATGGAATCAAAATATAGTCCTGAATATGCAAATACTGTAGTAACCTTTAAACTGCATATGAAGAAAGAGATTTTTAAAAGTAAATATTCTCTTCTATTTAAATAGTTATTCTGTGCTACAAAAGCATTTCTGCCTTTGTATAATATGGTTTTTTATTGTGCTATTGGGTTGTCAGAAAAGCCATGATGCATTTTTGCATAGAAAAAGACCTGTTAAAGAAATGTTTATAATCTGAAGATAGTAAAGTGGTACAGAACTTTGTTCTCTTTAAGATTTCACTAACAGTGCTCTTCTAAACTAGTTGCTCTTCTAAACTAGTCATGTTTCAAAATTGATTTCTATGAAAAAATGTTCAGAAAAATTTAATGTAAGGGGCCAGCAGGTGGTGTGGTGGTTAAGGTGTTGGATTCCCACATGGCCAACCACGGTTCAAGTCCTGGAGACAGTGGCTTGAAAATTGTACCCAGGTACATGTGTATGTGTGTGTCTAGAATCCTAAGAGGGAAATGGAGGAGAAGGGATTGCAGCATGGCCAGATGCCTGGGTGGTGATTTCTCATTTTTCCTCTCTCTGCCTCTATCTGGCAAACACACGCACCCTATGGGAAAAACTAAAAAAAAGAAAAAAAAAAGAAATGTTTAATGTAAGAAGAATGTCTTACCTGGACAGAGCCTTTAGGTGCTTTTCTGTATCCAAGGATTAGGTCCTGATCAGTGAGATTGTTCAGGGAAGGCCAGTTCCAGGAACTGAATTTTTTATTTCATATTCTACAAAATTTGCCAAATAATAAATATATATTTTTCTTAGTACATTAAAAATAACATTTTTCTGTTTTGTAGTGTGATTGTGGGAAGATGGAGGAATATGAGAAGTTCTGTGAAAAAAGTCTTGCCAGAATCCAAGAAACATCTCTATCCACGGAGAGCTTTCTACCTGCCCCATCAGAAAGTATTTCATTTATTCGCTTCCATGGAGTGGCTGTGCTTTCTCCACTGGTAAACTTTCTTTGTTTTTAAATATTTGTTTTTTCTACAGTGAACTACTAAGACAGTTTATAGACAAACAAGAGAAAGATTTATAAATGTTTGAAAGATAATTAGAGAAATACCAGCGAGCTAGCATTTTTTTACCTATTAGATTGGCAAAGATCTGATAAGACCTAATATTCTATAGGTAGTGGGGAAATGTACTTTTAATGCCTTTTGCTGAGAGAATCACTTGGTTCTACTTTTTGGTGAGCAGTTTGGTTGTGCTTATCAGAATTTAGAAGTACATATAACCTTTGACTCAGCAATTCCATTTTGGGGAATCTCCTACCATTAGCTTCATATACGTGCTCAAAGAAATATGTACAGGGTTATAGCAGCATTGTTTAAAAAAGCAAAAGATGAATGAATGACCCAATAGTAGGTTAATTTAACTGTGGTCCATTTGATAGACTCTCATCTGTGCCATTAAAATGAGGAGGGAAGGGTCGGCAGGTGACGTGGTGGTTAAGGTGCTGGACTCCCACATGCTGACTGTGGTTCAGGTCTCAGACCTGGCAGCTTGCTCTCTCACTTTC